CCTGACGCTGGGCAGCCTGCTGCGGCAGCAGCTCATAGCCCCGGGGCCGCAGGAGCGCGTCCTCAGCCACCCCTGCTGCCGACCCACCCGCTATGAGGCTGTCTCCTTCATGGATGTGGAGAACACGTGGCAGACGGTGGAGAAGCTCTCAGCAGCCGAGTGCAGCTGTATTGGCTGAGGAGGGGGCCGCTGGCTTGGCCCCAGCTCGACACATGCCGACAGACTCCAGCTTGCCACATGCGGTGGCACTGTGGCTCAGAACAAGGGTTTGGCAGAGGCTGGTGCCCCTGCTGTTACGTGGCCACAAAGAACCGAGGTGAGACGGAGTCGTGACTGGAGTGTGGGTGGCCAAGCCCGCTCCTGCTCAGTGCCAAGCAGCTGGTGCCAGCGGCTGCACGGAGTCCTAGCTCAGCCCTGAGAGAAGAGCTGAAGAGAGTATGGACCATCCCCACCACTGCCAAGGGTCTGCCAGCCCAGTGTCCATCAGCAGCACCCCTGCACCTTTGCTCCAGGGGCCAAGCATCACCCAGGCTTCAGAGGGGGCAAACCCTCCCTGTCCCCTCGGGCACCCTGGGGTCAGTGGTGCAGGGAAGGGGTGTCCCTGAGGGCAGGGATGCAGTGGGGCCAATTTGCACCAGAGTGGAGTGGGAGCTCTGCACCCGGACCAGCAGCAGACCCTTGTATTCTGCAGGGTGTTCGTTCCTAGACACCCACTGGGACCCCCACCCCTGCCTGGTTCCCAGGGTGGTGGCAGGTCCCCGCGCTGTTCCGCGGTGCTGTGGCACTAAACTATTTATTACTCTAAATTATTTATTTATTGTTCTCGAGCGGCAGCTCCTATTTATGACTTTGGGCCCCCAGCGGCCGGGTGTAATTTAACCCCAGCGCTGCACTGAAGCCCTGGGCAGCGCCCCGTGCACCCCCGCATCCTTTTTCTATTATTTGTAAAATTTGAGGGATAAACTCTATTTTTGTACAGTCGCCTTTTCCTGTAGCAATAAAGTGATGGGCTGCGCGTCCAACCCCTGCGTGTGCCCGTGATGGGGACGGGGGTGTCCCTGAGGCAGCG